CCCCCTCTTTTCAGCAAATGCCCACCCTTCCTGGGGACCACAGGCAGCACTAAGCAAGGGTTCCCAACGGCTTTCGGAACCAGTCGTCTCTCACGTTAGATCACATTGCACAGCTTTGGTCTCAGGGAAGGGAAAGCAGTCACGTCTCTCAGTTTCTCCACTTCTACAGTCCTCAGACTGATCTCATCTGTCCCCATGCCCCATGACCTCACGGGCAACGCTGCAAGGGGCTCCCTCATTTCTGTTTAAAAGCCTTCTTCAATTCAAGCAGCTCAGATGCAGACTCTTGTCCAATTATAGTTTCCTACACTGGGCCATTATCGAGGCCCCTGTATACATATGGAATCATAGATTTTACCTCTACATATTTGTGTGGTAGACTCCATTTATTAAGAAAGCATGACACACTCTCTCTCTAGAGAGCATTCTCTGCTTTACTGAGTGGATAAAACAAAAGTCAGGACAAGGAGAAAGTCAGATTTCTCTTTGTCTGCACCACTGTGTGAGCAGGAATATGTTAGGTGTCTCCATGCCACCCTGGGACGCTTCACGTGCAGATGACTTGACATTGGTTGCCTGTCCTCTCCCTCACAACAGAAATCATACACTTGCCACTTGAGCAACCAGCCGTAACCTCCAATACCACATGGGAAAGGCGGCCACATTGGGATTGCGCTCATGACCGCTTCATCTTCAAACAGATCAGTCTTGTCTTAGCTACATGCCTTGCTGCCCATCGTCAGGGCCATGCAATGCTCCGCTTTACCCTGTCTTTGCTTTTTTTGTCTGTCCGTGCTCAGGCTTTAACTGTGCTGGGGGGACATTTTCTAGGGATATCCAGAGAGGGCACCAAAGACACAACTAAGAGATGGTTCTACCCAAGTTTGTCTTGACAAACCAATGAGTTTATTGGAGTTACTTATGGGGTGAGGTGTGCACAGACCCTCAGGCAGGCGCATCATTGAGAAGCCCATTCCAAGATGGGTGGTGACTCATGAAAGATGCATTTCTGCAGCTTCCTGCAAAACTTGTGGAGAGCTCCACTAAAGCATCTCCTAGAATGTTTACTGCACATGTGACCTTGGAGACAGGCTATGTGAGTCTCATAATTTTCTTAGCTTCCAGAGCTTTATGACCTCTCTGTTGATGTTACATTAGCTAATGCTACTATTAATGGATATTTTCTAGGAATACAGTTGACCTATTTATCTGGTAGCCTTACTGAACTCATTTTTATTACTTTTTATTTTTTTATTTTTTCAGAAAGAGTTTCTCTGTGTAGCCCTGGCTGTCCTGGAACTCACCCTGTAGACCAGGCTGGCCTTGAACTCACAGAGACCCACCTGCCTCTGCCTCCTGAGTGCTGGGATTAAATGCATGTCCCACCATTGCCAGGTGTGAACTCATTTCTTAATTCTCATAGTTGTTTTCAATAGATGCCTTGAGATTGTCTACATAGCCAATCACACACCTGAGACAAGAGACTTTTCTTTGCATTTAATTGGTGGGCTCCGACTTTTCCTCCTCATCATACTGACTAGTAATCCCCCCAGTAGGACACTAAGAGTTTTGAGAACAGGTATTTCTTCTTAGCTTTTAACTTTTTCTTTTTTCTTTTTATCATTTGTGTGTGTATGAGCTTTTTTGCCTGCATGTATGTCTATGTACCATGTGTGTGCAGTGCCCAAGGAGGCCAGAAGAGTGCGTCAGATACCCTAGAATTCAAGTTACAGATAGTTGTGAGTCACTATGTGGGTGCTGGGAATAAAACCCTGTCCTGTGGAAGAGCAGCCAGTGCTCTTAACCTCTGAGCCATCTCTGGAGAGACGCCCTCTTGTCTTCTTTTTGATTCTTGTGGCAATGCAATATTTCACCATTAAACATAATGTTAGCTGTAGTTTTGTTTGTCTGTTCTTGTTGTTTGTTTGTTTTTAAATCACATTGAGGAAGCTGCCTTCTCCACCTAGTTTCTAACAATTCTTAGCCTTAGTTCTTTTCTTTTTTCATTTATTTATTTATTTATTTATTTATTTATTTATTTATTTATTTATTTATTTATTTGCCGGAGTTATTTATATACTTATTTCTGTTGAACAGAGTCTGTCGCTCACAAGTGGCACACACACTATACACTGGCAGGCATGGTGCTTCACCCAGATGCCATCACTTACCCATCTGTAATTTATGTTGAGAAAAACGAAAAGGGAATGACCTTGGAGTAACTTGAGGAGATGACAGCTGAAGTTTGAGTTTCTTGAGATGTAAGTTATTTGGTGATAAACACATTATCTCCATAAATATTAGACAGTAGGAAAGATATTTCCCCATATCTATCACTTATACTGCTTTCGTATTAATTATTTGTGTGTGTGTGTGTGTGTACACACGCGCACGCGCGCGCGCGCGCGCACACACACACACACGCACACGCACACGCGCGCGCGCCCACAGGAGCACCGTGGTACATGTGTGGAGGTCAGAGGACAACTTTTGAGAGTTGGCTCTTTCCTATTCTTTGAAAAGGATTTATTTTATTTTTTTCATGGGGTGGGACAGCACAGGCTCTCCCGGAGCTGCAGTTACAGGTAATAACCGATAGAGCTCAGGTCCTTTGAAAGAACAGCAAGAGCCCTTAACCACTGAGCCCCCTCTCCAGCCCCTTCTCTCTCCTTTCGCTATAACGGATGGAACCCACATTGCCAGGTTTGGCACAAGCGCCTTTATCCACTGGTGTGGTGGTATTGTGTTCCCCAAAATATTGTGCACCCTAATAAACTTATCTGGGGTTAGAGAACAGAACAGCCACTAGATACAGAGACTAGAAAATAGTGGCACTCACGCCTTTAATCCTAGCATTCCAGAGGCAGAGATCTACCTGGATCTCTGTGTGTTCAAGGACACAGCCAAGCATGGTAACTCACCCCTTTAATCCCAGAAAGCGAGCCTTTAAACCCAGGGAGTGATGGCAGAAGGCAGAAAGCAGAAAGGTATATACGGCGTGAAGACCAGAAACTAGAAGCTTTTGGCTGGTTAAGCTTTCAGGCTTTGGAGCAGCAGTTCAGCTGAGATCCATTTGGATGAGGACTCAGAGGCATCCAGTCGGAGGAAACAGGATCAGCTAAGGAACTGGCGAGGTGAGGAAGCTGTGGCTTGTTCTGCTTCTCTGATCTTCCAGCATCCATCCCAATACCTGGCTCCGAGTTTGATTTTATTAATAAGAACTTTAAAGATTCCTGCTACACACTGAGTCATCTTCCTGACCCTCTTTATATCACTCACCTCTTTCATAGTGTGCAGTGACAGTTACTAATGTCTAAATTGTTGCTTCCCTGGTTTCTTTGGCCTTGGAAATCATGCTTGCATATTTTTATGGCTCTGATCTGAAATGTTCCCCAAGGGCTCATCTGTTGAAAGCTTAGTCTTCAACACAATTAGAGGAGTAATTAGCTAGCGAGGACTCTGACGTCATTAGTCCAGCATGTGATCCTGAGTTGATGGGCTTTGGGGAAGTGAGGGAAACTTTGGAGATGGGCGCCAGTTGACGGGCGCTAGTCCTGACTGAGCATGCGCCAAGGACTACATACCGCCCCAGGCTTCCTCTCCACAAACTCATCTCGTTACTACAAGGTAGGCAGCTTTGCTCTGTCACGTGCTCCCTGGCCTGGTGTTCTGCCTGGTCCTGTTTCAGGAGCAAGAATCCACATGACTATGGACTGAAATCTTTTGTGAGTCAAAATAAACATTTTCTCCTCTAAGTGGCATTCCTGGGGGATTTTGCCACAGCAAGGAAAACTAGTATGTTAATACGGGCATCTTCTATGCTTAACTACATCTGAGAGCCAGTGACTGAATGTTTTCTAGATTAGAAAGACATTTAAAACTGGAAAGGCCAACTTACCTGTGAGTTTGCACCCAAATCCTTCCTCGTTGGAACTCTAAACAAGGACTCCGAAAGAAAAATGAAGGTGTATTAAGGGCTCACCAGTTTTAGAGTCAGCCAGTAGAGCAGTTAAGCTTCCGTGAAAGACCGCTGACCCAACACATCATGTGGCCCAAGCGATTTTTAGCCCAATTACTTTAACTACTAAAGACTCGCTTGGAAGCCTAGGGCTAAAATGGGCAACGGTTAGGTCATTGTCTTGGTTAAATAATAAGAACGTTGGACAACACTGACTGAAAGAACGTCCCCAGAGACACACCACATCCACGTCCACCCACCAGAGTCTCTCTAGTAGTCAATATACAAGTTTAAATGACATTTGAAAATAGGAAGCTTGCTATAAAGAGTCTGGGACCGTCTGCCCTTGGGCTAGAAACCTTGGAATCTGGAAAAGCTGAGCAGCATGGGAGGAGCTTGTCAGCACCGTGGAGAGGAAACTGCTAAAGGTCAGATTGAAATCTACTCCTGTCCCAGGAGGCTGAACACAGTGCCGACCCTATGATTTAGGTATTAAAAAAAAAACAACTACAAAAATTAGACTCCCCAACTCTAAACTCATCCAACAAATATAATATATATATGTAAAGGAGTTAAATATATAGTCATCAAAAAGAAATCCAAATGACCAATAAAATTCTGAAAAATGCTCAGTCTTTTTATCTGCTGGGAAAACGAAGAATCAAAACTACATTCCAGGGGCTGGAGAGACACTCCATCCACTACCTGCCTTTCTCAGGACCCTGGTTTGATTCCCAACTTCCTTAGCGTCTCACAACAGTAATTCTGTTCCTATTGGGCCCGGCTCCCTCTTCTGGTTCCCACCAGCTCCTGCACCTAAGAGGTGTATATAAACTTAACTGCAAGCACAACGCACATTCACCACTCACATCTAAAAAATAAATTCTTAAAAAAATGATTAAAAGGTCTCCAGATCCCATCTCACTCGTGTCAGGGTAGCTATCATTAAGCAGTCGCACAGCAGTGGAGGGTGGGGCCGCGGGAGCCAGGGACAGCTGTGAGCGTGGGCCTTGGGAGGAGGCGGCACCCGGCTCTCGCGACGATGGCCGGGCTGCAGGCGCTGATGCAGCGGGTGCTGCGCGCGCTGATGTGGCGGGCACTGCAAGCCCTGCTCTGCCCGCACCACGCGCTCATCTCGGCGCTGCGCGCGCGCCCGGGCACCTGGAGCTGGATCCGGTGGCTCCCCAAGCCTCTGACGAACCGTGGGCACTCTTGTCGCAGCCCGCACCGGCACCTGCACCGGCACTCGAACTCGTACTCGCTGGGGGACCCGGCGCTGGCCATAATGCACCCGGGGCTGCGCTGGCGCGCGGACTGCCGGACCCTGCACAAGCTGCCCGTGCACCTGGGTCTTCTGATCACGGAGTTGGAGCACAGCTTCTCGGACGTGGCGAGCATCGTGGTGTGGTGCGTGGCTGTGGGGATCTCCTACGTTAGCGTCTACGACCACCAAGGTATTCTCAAGAGAAATAATTCCAGACTGATGGAGGAAATTTTAAAACGACAGCAGGAACTTTGGGGCTTAGATTGTTCCAGATACTCAGCAGAGTTGGCACAGAGTAACGGCAAAGACGGTCTAGTTTTAATCTGCCGGTCGGCAGTGCAGGTGCTGTCCCCAGAAGACGGGAAAGCGGACGTTGTGAGAGCCGCCCAGGACTTCTGCCAGTTGGTGGCGCGGCAGCAACGGAGAGCCACGGATCTGAACGTGGATGTGTTTGACGGCTTGCTTCGTTCCCATGGCTTCCCTGATCCGGATTTAGTCCTGAAGTTTGGTTATGTGGACAGCACACTAGGCTTTCTCCCCTGGCAAATCAGACTGGCTGAGATCGTGTCCTTGCCTTCTCACCTGAACCTCTGTTACGAGGACTTCTTCTCCGCCCTTTGTCAGTATGCGGCGAGTGAACCGCGTCTGGGAAAGTAGTGGTCCCTGTTTGCGTCCCTTTTGGAACTAAGGACCCGAGGGACTCTGATGTTTACAAAGTACCTATAAATACCTTGTGCACACCTAGTTCATATTCCTCATAATTTATCAGCAGACACAAAGAATGTCTTACTCGAGAGT